CAAAATACACTTCACCACAACCTTTAAACCATCTCCACCACTCTTTTTTTATCTCTTTTCTCACAGCTGCTACTGGCTCTTCTATATACGCTGCCCACGTTTTAATATCGTGTTCCTCCCATCCTTCATCTATTAACTCTGTTCTCGTCTTTCTATACACTTGACCCTTAAATCTTGCCTTAAACACCTTTGGTATCTTAGTGGAATCAGTATAAAATCTCGTTTTTCCATTACATTTATTTCTGAACTTTTTCATTTGTTTTACTACTACTTTTTCTTTCACTTCTTGTTCCTCTCCTTCTTTTATTCCTATTTCTCTTGCTTCCTCTATACTCATTTCTAAATCTTGAACTACCTCCAACAATTCTTTTCTCACCAGTTCTACACTTTTCTCACTTAATGTTTCATCCACACTTCCTTCATCCTTATCTCCTTCTTGTTTTTCTTCCCTGTCAGTCTCTACTTCTTCAATCTCATTTCTCTCTTTATCTTTCCTCTTACATTGATATTTTTTATGACCATATTCATTACATTGATAACACTGTACATTTGGACAATCCCTAGCTCTATGTTCCTCTGACAGGCAATTGGCACATTGCCACTTCACACCGGGATATTCTATTCGAATTTTACATCCTCTTATCTCAATAAAGTTAGGAACTTCTTTTTCCATTTGTATGGTAACATATCTCTTATCTGTGAGAATATCTTTTTCTGGCAATAGATAATCGCATTCTATCCGGATTACTTTACCATATTCTCTAAGTTTTAAATCTATTTCTTTTCTATCAATTTCATAAGGTACTCTTAACAATTGTAATCTCTTAATTTTTCCTTTTAATGCTCTTACACTTAAATTCTTACCATGCCATTTCCATTCTGTCTCAAGAATTGCCATTTTCATTGCCTCATCTCTAGCTGTCATTATACATGATCTTTTTGTCATCTCACCTATTTGTACAATTACTGTCTCATCGTCCATTAACGCTCTTACAAAGTCTTTCCAATTTATTTCCTCCTGAGCAACAAATCTCAGAGACATAGCTCCTACTTCCTGTTTTTCTTTTTCTGCCATCTCTATTGTTAATGAAAACTCCAATGAACACTTATACTTTACAATAATTTACTCTCTCTCCAATTTAAGAACTATCAGAAGCAGTCCCAGTAAATCTAAGTCAAGAGTCCAAAAAAGTCAAAATTATTTTCAAAACGGAGAAATATACACTAAACTTAATTAAATATTAAATTCACAATCCAAAAAATATCCAAAAACACTTCTTCTCTGTCTAATTTTCACTTTTAAATCCGCACTCTCACTAATGCTGTTCAAGTAAAGGACTCTTAAACAAAATACTTTTTTTTTACAAAATTAAACACTATATTCCATTTAATACTAAGTTAACACAAATTATATTACTTTATCATTATTTTCATAATCATTATTATCTATTTAAACCATCTTCTATGACAAGACACGCCCCTCACGGGTATCTTTGGAGTGTCTATCACACAAATTTCGATTAGTCAGAAAATTACTTAGTTTATCTTCTATAACTTTAAATACTAATACACAGTCGCTCTATTAACTATTATTTTCGCTATAGGTACTCACGAATCCCTTAAATTCTTCACTCATTCATCCAACTTCACAGAACACTCTAAGTTCACTCCATCGCTATTTTCCGAAAAAATTCGAAATTTATTCACTCCAATTCGACGAAATATCCTTCTTTAATCCTTAGGAACACTAAATATCACTTCATTTTTCACTTTAAAGCACAGAAAAACCTTTCTACAAATCTCAAGCAGCTGCTCTCAGAAAGTCACCATCCCCCTGGTGATAAGAACAGATACTGTGGTATCAAAGTTTGTAAATGAGAGCCCGGGGCAACACAAAAACACGGCTGACCCGGCCCCTCATTTTTACTAACGCCCCCTTATCCCCAACCCAACAAGCTGCCCACAGTGACAAACATATGAGTACACGGGGAACTCGGGAGGCGCAGCCAACGTCAAAAAACGTAACAGGAGGTTAAAAAACCGACAAATACCCTCCAAGAACCACAGTATTGTTAGTACAACATCACAGAACTAACTAATTAATTAAACTTACAACTACAAACATTCAAAAATAGCAATAAATCGGCAAATTTCTACGTTAAATACGAATAGCAAGCAAAGCCAAACAGTGTAAATGCTATCAGTAGAAATAAAGTACACCACCACACCAAAAAATAAACTAAATTCATATCAATACAACAAACTCACTTATCAATCAAAAACAGATCAAAAAACGCGAACATCAGATCAAAAGAGATCAATCTTAAAACTATACATCAAAAATAAACATTTAAATCACACAAAATCTAAGATTTAATCAATTCGCTTCTCGTCCATATCTCACCAAATCTTCACTACATTTTAGCCATTCTACCAATTTGGTTTAATTATTTGACCAACAAACACTTTGTGTGCAAATGTTCCCTTTTTAAAACGCACCAATCGATCCTCTAGTTCCTGTCTAATCACTTTTTTTGCCTCCTTATTCTGTTCAAGTAGATAATATTTCCATAAACACAATTCCTCAGGTCTCCATCCTTCCTCTCTCAATTCACTGACTGATTTTCTAAACACAGCAACTCTTAAATCATAACAAACAGGCCATTGTTCTGGTTCTGACTCTTTCAACTCTTTCATTCTTTCTTCATTTATCTTTCCTTTAATTACCAAATTTCTTTTTTCCTGTTCTTTATCTTTTACCCGTTTTGATTTTCGAATTAATTCTTCACTCTCTGGACTTCCTCTATCTCTCTTACCACTATCATCTCTCTCTTCTTCTATACTTTGTTCTACCATCTCACAAACCTCCTGTAAATCTCTTTTTGCCCTTTCTATTTTTTCCTTTGGACTTTCTCTATTCTTATCTATTTCTACCTCATCTATTTCCTCTACTCTTATTTCATTTTGCTCCTCCTGCTCTTTATTTTCCATATCACATTCTCTCTTTCGATGTCCCTTTTTTCCGCATTTGTGACACTTCACTTCAGGGCAATTTTTTGCCCTATGTGTCTCTTTCATACAAGCCGCACAAAGCCATTTTACTCCAGGATAATCAATCCTAAATTTCCTTCCATCAATAATCATATAATTTGGAACTTCTTTTTCCATAAACATCTGTATTCTCACATTTCCAGATGGTACTTGCAAATTAAACGAAAACATTTCTCTCTTTATCGATCTAATTTTTCCATAACTTTCTAATGCCTTTTCTATCGCATTACTATCAAAACCCAAAGGAACATGACGCATAATCAAACTTTTAAAATTTCCTTTTATGGGGACGGCCTTAACCGAAGCCTCATTCCAGGGCCACGTACTTCCTATAAACTGCCACTTAATTTCTTCGTCACGAACTGTCACATGACATTTTCTTGCACTTATTTTATCTACCATTAAATATATTTTATCATCTTCAAAAACTTGTATCATTCGCAATAAAAAATCCTCCCAGTCTATCTCCTCACTTGCTATAAGTTGCAAGGTAATGTCCTCGTATTTCTCCATTATTCCAAAATTAAAATAACGAAAACTATACTCACAAAAGTCCAAAACTTATCCTAAAGTCCACAAAAAAAGGGAAACGTCCAAAAAATTTCTAAGTCCAAAAAGCTCTTTTCTCACAAAGTCCAATTTCTTTTCCAAAAATCCAACGCTGAAGTCGAACTGGAAACTAAGTCCACAAACCAAAATTCATCTCAGGAACAAAGTCCAGGAACACCAAGAAACACCAGGAACTGCTGAAACTCCAACTTCCTTTTCGGCACCCAATACAGCACCCAAGGCAGCACCCAGCAGTCAGGATCTCCAAAGTCGACTCGGTCACTCAGGAACGGCAGAGTCCATCAATCCAGCAGGGACGGCAGGAACAACAGGAACAGCTGATCAAGCATCAAGCAGCTACCTCTCCATATATATAGAGCAGAATAGCTACAAGACCTTCATGGACAGCAGACTGACTGGCACGGCAGGTCTCCTTCTCTTCTCGACTATGGGCTTACAAGTCTTATCTATTCGGATAAGTTAAGATATGACTGACTTGTCAAATCTTGGTCTTGGCCATAAGGCCGAGAAGCGATAAAAAACACATCAAAGGTGCCGACGGGCCAAGTCTGGAAACGTACAATACACGTGTGGTGTGTCCAGGTGACGTCGATCGGCAAATATCCGTTAATACACACGAAAGAACGTCAGGAAACGATAGCAAGCGATGCTAAAGGCTGCAGGAAATGTCAGGTATTGCATGGGTATTGCCTGACAACGGCATAAAACTCCTGTTGGTCACCAATCATCACAGGAGGAAATTATGCCGCAGCCCGTACCAGCGTTGCGTCGGTCGAATACTGATAGCATTTCGATGCTAAATATTTTTTCGCTAGCAAAATACATTAGAAATTTCTGTATGTAACGTAGAATATTTGCCGATTCGATATTACAATATATTCCATGCAATAATTTTGAAACAATTCGCTTTTATCCGTTATTTTAGAAAAATGTCGCGCTACTTCATTTCTTCAATGTAAAGAGTGAGGCTTACCTTTCCTTGGGTGCCTGGGTCTTCTACGTGCAGGCCGTGCGTGTTGTCCACAGTAGTCACACTCTGAAAAAATTGCACATTTCATTTTTCTTCAATAACTTCGAATCGCCGATTAGCGATAACGACCAAAAGCACGGGAACGTCTTTCTCGCATCGCTCAGATTCATCGTAGCGTACCGGAAGTATGCGGCGATGGCGGTTTATCGCCATCCACATTTTCTCTTACCTTTTCTTCTGCAATTCGCCACATTTCTTTTTCCTGCTAATCCTTGCTTGGAGAATGTCTTGCAATTCCTGTAATCGCTCCTCTGGCATCTTCCGTGAATGACAACCAACTGGAAAAAGAAAAAAAATTTTTTTCTTCAATAATTAATTTCTCTATCTTTTATTATTTATTTCCCCCCAAAGGGGGTGGGCTATCTCTGGCAATAAGTGCCAGGCCAGAGCAACCCGCGGCGGGGAGGGAGCAAGCCCCCTTTCCCGCCCCGTTCCAAAAATCAGGTTAATATCGAAGGTCTCCGATGGAGACCGTATCAGATATCAAGCTGATAAGAACAGAGTTTAAAGCCATTTATTGATTAATATAAAATATATACAGTTGGAATATGTATAAGTATATGAGTTACCATGGGCACATAGCCAGCCAGAAAGATACATAGCAGTTGGTAAAGGTATATACAAGATAAAGTTGGGGTGTGTACCCCTATACGCGTTCCATGGGCACTAGCCAGCCGATAAAGACGCGATTACATGGGCTCTAGCCTGACAAGTGTGGTACATAACACAGGTAAAAGAGAGTCCAATCAGTTGTGAGGGCGGTTGCCAAGGTGCCGCATGTAGATTTCTCTACTGTGGCTAATGCAGTCACTAACCATTAGGTGTCGCATCATCCTGGCGTACTTCCTGGAAATTCCAAGGCGTTGTATGACGCTTTCGTTTGCGGCATCGTAGCCGCCGAGGGCTCCCACGACGAAAGCGTCAATGAAGGTTTCGTAGCCTAAGTTACGATAGTGGGCGGCGAGGGCTTCGTACTTCCGAACTTTTTCCTCTCGGGCTTGGGTGAAGGCATCTTCGCCGTTTTCGAAAGGCGTGGCGACGTCAATTATGGTTGCTGTTTTCGGGTTGTTGTTGATGATGACCAGGTCTGGTCGGCAGTTGCTGGTGAAGTCCGGGATCTGCTGGTTACTGAAAATTTGAAGGTTTTTATGATCAAAGGCGTTGATTAGGCGGTTAAGGATGGCATTATGACGTTTCGTAATCTGGGCAAGGTTGGGGGGACAATGATTGATGACGTGTGCCAGCGTTTCACGGTGCCGTTGGCAGCGGCGGCAGTTCTGACTGACGTTGCCGAAGCGGCGAAGGCCGCGAAGGGGGACAACGCTGAGCCTGGCCCGATGTATAAATCGCCAGTCAGCGAATTTGGTGAAGTTGCCCTCACGAAGAAAATGGTTGCTGTTCGGGTTTTGTGCAGTAAGTCGAAAGGCCTTACCCTGATCGGGTTTACGGAGGAGGGCGGTCGAAAAGGTGGTTTTAACTGCAGTGGCGATTGTGCTGGCGGCGTTGGCTTTGGTCAGGAGTTTGCCGTTTACGGATGGGACTAGGGTGCCATCTTCGTTGGGGTGCCAGCAGATGTCGATACGAGTCCTGAGGCGACGTGTGGCCATCCTAAGCCGAGTCCAGAGGGAGGGGACGTCATAGGGGTCACATCCGAACTCATTCTCCATGGACCCGGCTAGGTAGGTGCAGAGGTCGCTGCCGCTGGGTTCTCGTTTTATGCGCTTTTCGACCACTTGTTTGAGAGTTTTTACTGCAAGGTTGGTGACGTTCTGATCTCTGGAAAGAAAAAGATTGACAGCGTGACTCACCTGTGATGCGTCTGCAAGAATGCCACATGATGTAATGTTGGCTCCTCCTTGGCTATTGGTCATGTGGATGATTTCCGGTGATGCACGTTGTGGAAGGTTCATCCACCTTTTGGCGCATCGCTTGATGGACTTGTCCAAGTTATTGAGGAGTTTTTTGGGGACGTTGCCCAGGGTGAGGTGGAAAGTCAAACGTGTGGTGAGGAAGGTGTTGATGCTGTCAATCTTCTGCCACGGGGCGAGGCAGGAGTTGTCGATGGATTTGAGGTCCTTAAGGATTCCATCAATCACTGTGGCGGCAGATTGTCCGATGGTAAACCCCGTGGGAATCCCGAGGTGCATGTAGTGGTCGTTTTTGCCAAGTCGAGGGATGTTGGCTTCTCCAATCTTGAAGGTGTGGTTGTCGGCACAGCGGTATTTCCCTGCAATAGACAAAGTTGCGCATTTCGACGGGTTGAAGGTTAGGCCGCAGTGGTGAGCCCAAGAGGAGAGGAGGTCAAGCTGTTGCTGCAGGCCCGCCGCAGTGGAGCTGGTGATCGTGATGTCGTCGGCATATGCGAGTGCAGATATGTTGCAATCGTGGATTGGGTAGCCAACTTGCAGGTCGGTCACGAGACGAAGCGCTGGCTCGACGACGAGGTTGAATAGTATTGGGCTGAGAGGGCAACCCTGTTTGACGCCCGCAGAGATGGTGATCGGTTCGGTGAGGCCGGAGCTGGATCTAATGCGGGTGTGACAGCCAGTGAGGAGATCTTCAATTATTTGGATGGAGGGGGCACCAAGGCCGCACCACTTGAGGCACCGGATGATGGTACTGTGGGGAACAGAGCCGAACGCATTGGCGAGGTCGAGCCAAGCGACATGGCACTCTTTGTTCCTACGGCGTGCGTCCTGGATTACGGATTGAAGCACGAAGGTGTGTTCGGAGCACCCTTCGTACCTCATGAAGCCTTTCTGCGCTGTGGATATGGTGTTGTTTTGCTCGCACCAGCGCAGTAGGCGATTGGCGATACAGGCCGAATACAGTTTACCAAGTGTATTGGCTAGGGCAATAGGTCGCCAATTGTGCACGTCGCTGCGGTCCCCTTTTTTATGAATAAGTATTGTGGTGGAAGTCCTCCAGGAAGCGGGGATGGTCCCGATGCGCTGAACGGCGTTGAAAAGTGCCGCCAGGATGTGGCCCTGCGGGTCAAGTCGGCGCCAGATGTAGTACCGAATTCCGTCTGGTCCGGGCGCGGTGTTGTGGCACCTGGAGAGCTTGTAGGCGACTTCCGTAGGGGTGAAGGCTTCGCATAGTGGGTCATCGGAGGTTGGAGTAAGAGGTGGCGGCAGTAGGTGGCTAGGAGGCTCGGTGCTGGTAGAGTGGCTGTAGATATCTTTAAAGTGGTTAGTTAGTAAGTTCTTACCAATTTCGCAGAAGCGTTCGGTGCCTCGTGTGATCTCATCGAACGCCTTGCTTTTGTTGATTCTGTACAAGCGTTGGATTCTGCTTGCTGCCGCTGGGTTGTACCTACGTTGTCTGTTGCGATGGGTTGGTGGTGGGCGGCGTCGATGCTGGTGGTGGGAGTTTGGCTGTCTCTGTTGTGGCACCAGTTGCTGGGCAAGTTGAACGAGGTCCTGGACCATGATCTCGAGCATGTCCTCGTCCATGGCGCAATTGAAGCGTGTGCACCATGCGATGACCCAGGACGGGGGCTCGGTCGAGGAGATGGTAGGAGGAGTGGGGGAGGCAGGCGGGTGTGCCTCAGGAGTGACCTCTGCGGTGAGATGGGTTGGGTTTCCCGTGGTGGCTGGAACATTGGCGGAAGGAGGGGAGTTCCTGACAACTTCCGCATAACTGGCAGCAGCCGTAGGTGTGTTGGTCTGGGTTGGGGTGGTAGACTCGTCGGTTGATGATGTACGTCGGCGACGTTGACGTGTACGACGGCGGGGACGCCTTACCAGGGGAGGCGTGTTGCTGCTTTCTTCGTCCTGGGTGTTGGGTGGGATGATGCTGGTGTCACCGATGGTGGGTGAGTCGTAGCTGGTAGTGTTGGCAGGAGTCGTCGCTTCTCGGGTGTTGTGGACTGGTGGCTGGTGCTGGCAATTGTTGACAGGGGCCTGGCTGGAAACATTCTGCGAAGCAAGGTAGGCTTCATCTAGGCCGTAGTCCTTCTGTCTGCGTTTCGCACGCCCGCTGGCAGTGGGGATTTTCTGTCGCTCCTTTGGGTCTCTGGCAGAGCTGGGAGACATGGTGGGAAGTTGTGCGGAACAATTGTCGGATTTCGATTGATGTAGTTTGATCTCTTTGAGTTTTTCCGATTGGGTTCCACAGATTCTGCACTCGAAGCTGAGACGGCCCCCGTGTACACGACGAAGGTGGCGGGAGAGACCCCCGTGGTCCACATAGTCTCTGTACACCGGTAGGCAGGCAGGGCAGTGGTAGGGGGGGCGGAGAGGCACCAGCAGAGTGACGAAAGCCAGGTTGTTGGTGGAAGCCATAGATCAAATGTGTAGGGGGGATAGAAAGAAGGAAAGGGGCGGAAATGCCTCTTGGGGTGCTAAAGGCAACCAACCAAGAAGAGGCAGGAAGGGGAAGAAAGAACTGCTGCTTTGGTCGGCCCAGGCAGTAGTGGAAGTACACGTTGCGTCGTGATCAGTGATCACGCCGCGACAGAAAAGTGGTTGCTGGTCAGGCAGCGAATACACTGTGCGTTTAAACAGTGCAGGCCGCCCTTCCAGCGGAAGTAGGAAGAGTGATAGAAAAGAGAAAAACGTTAAAAACTACTTACCGACTCGGCGGGGAGCATCCGGCTCGGAATCCTGGAGTCGTCGAAATGGGGCAGAATCAGGCTTAATTTAGAACATCAAGCTGATAAGAACAGATACTGATTCTCATAAAGTTTATACGGTGAGAGTAAATCCCATGCAGAGTGGCTAAAGGCAGCCACCTGCGCCCGCAATAACTAACTAATCATTGAATGCAGTACCTCCTTACTTCACAGAGCCCCCACCTTAGTGAATAAGGCCGTTCTCTGTGCCGTGAGGATAGAAGAAACTAATGGAAATTTAACAGTGGTTATTGGCCTCGTCACACAAGCTGGAAAGGCAAGGGAGTCAGTGGCCACAAGACTGAAGTAAACAGTATCCTATCCCGCTGAACAGGTGAGAGGGGAATCATTGGATAGCAAGGAACAGGGCAGAAAATGCCACTTACAAAAAGAACTAAAGCCTGTACAGGAGAAGGCACAGGAGACAGAAAGATCAAAGGGAAGTGGAGGTCCAAACACACTGGGCTGGAGTCCACCCCCAAAAGAAGCAAACAATGAACTTAAAAGCTAGCCTATGCTAACTTACATGCTAACGTGCACTTAAGAGAGTAGATCGTTAAGAGTTGGGCTACCGTCCTTCCAGGTCCAGAGGATCTGGTTGGGGGTATCCCATAGAGCATTAAAGTTGGCCCGTGTTAGAGACTGAAAATCCGAGAGTAGCTTACGAGCTATAGCCTCGCGGATTTTGATACGGAAAAGGCGGTGGGCGGTGTATTTGTGTTCAAATACCCTCCTACACCTGGCCAGCCACATCTCGTGTTTAGCCATGTGGATAAGGAGACTAATCACGTAGGGAGATGCAGTGCCTTTGCTAAAAAGGACGTGGAGAACTACGTTCTCTCTTGACAGAAAGGGTAGTCCTAGGAGGGGGGTAATCCAACCCCAAATTTTCCTTGCTACCCTACAGAAATAAAAGAGATGT